ATATGATATGATATGATATGATATGATATGATATATTATAGTGATGAAGTGAATTTAAGTTTGGCTGGTTGCTGCGGTCACCTTAAATTAATTAATTCTGTTCCTCAGTAAACATCAGGAGGTCAAACACCTGCAGTCATAACTGACGTCAGCTGGATTAATGTGTGTGTGTGTTTAAGTTTAAGTTTATTCTCTTTATTAATCCCCCTGAGGAGAAATTCAATGTTTTTACCCTTGCTTGTCAATTAAACACAGTCCGAAAGACACACACATGCACAAACAGGACCTATACATGCACACAGTGGAGAGATGTCAGAGTGAGGGGGCTGCCCTTGGTGAGGCGCCCTGAGCGGTTGGGGGGTTCGGTGCCTTGCTCAAGGGCACCTCGGCAGTGCCCAGGAGGTGAACTGGCACCTCTCCAGCCAACAGTCCACGCTCCATATCTTGGTCCGGACGGGGACTCGAACAGGCGACCCTTCGGTTCCCAACCCAAGTCCCTATGGACTGAGCTACTGCCGTGTGTGTGTGTGTGTGTGTGTGTGTGTGTGTGTGTGTGTGTGTGTGTGTGTGTGTGTGTGTGTGTGTGTGTGTGTGTGTGTGTGCTCAGAGCTGCTGACTGCTTCATATTTCAGTTTTAATCCTCTCACAGTTTTACAGTCGTTTAACCTCCCGCAGCTTCGTCTGATGAAACGTCAGCAGGAGGTGATGAAGGAGCTCCGCCCCCTTTAATACCAGCAGGTCCTCTGTGGAGAGGGTGGATGACCTCAGACACCTGGATGACCTCATCACTGAGGCTCTGACCTGGACGCTGTGTTGTGACTCAGTGAGGAAGGCGGAACATCAGTGTGTGTTTGCTGACTGGATGGTTGTGACAGTGGGCGTTCAGCTGCTCATGTGACTCTGGACCAGTTAGAACAATGGGAGCATTGTGGGTAACGTAGTCCTCTATTGTTCAGAAAGCAGAGGTGGGAGTGACCTCTGACCTCTGCAGAATGAAGGTCAGCCGCTTCTCATGAGGACACAAACTGAAGTCCTCGTCTGCTGATTGGATCGTTAGCTGGACCTTAGTTACTGCTGCTCACCTCTGCTGTGCAGGTGAGACTGTCATCAGACTCATCTGGTCACATGACATCATCAGACTCACCTGGTCACATGACATCATCAGACCCACCTGGTCACAGTCGAACAGCAGCTGCAGCTCTGTCTCCATCCACTGCTCGATGTCCAGCCTCCTCTGCAGCTCTCTGCGGTCGTATTTGATGGTCAGTCTACCGAGACGATGAGGAGGAGGCTGCTCTATCTCCTCCTGCTCCTCTTCCTCCTCCTCAGGGGTCCTAAACATCACTCGAGGATGCTGGGAGCTCAGCTGGACAGTAATGTCTGCTGGGAGGTTGACAGATGACACAGCTCCTGACTGATTCATCGCTTGGCTTCTAAAATCACAGAGATATAAAAACAACACTTGTTTTACTGAGAGTACGAGTGTTTCACTGGACTGTACGCTCTGTACCCTCTGTATGCTCTGTACCCTCTGTACGCTCTGTACCCTCTGTACGCTCTGTACGCTCTGTATGCTCTGTACCCTCTGTATGCTCTGTATGCTCTGTACCCTCTGTACGCTCTGTACGCTCTGTACGCTCTGTACGCTCTGTACCCTCTGTACACTCTGTATGCTCTGTACACTCTGTATGCTCTGTACGCTCTGTACACTCTGTATGCTCTGTACACTCTGTATGCTCTGTACGCTCTGTACACTCTGTATGCTCTGTACACTCTGTATGCTCTGTACGCTCTGTACACTCTGTATGCTCTGTACACTCTGTATGCTCTGTACGCTCTGTACACTCTGTATGCTCTGTACACTCTGTATGCTCTGTACGCTCTGTACACTCTGTATGCTCTGTACACTCTGTATGCTCTGTACGCTCTGTACACTCTGTATGCTCTGTACACTCTGTATGCTCTGTACGCTCTGTACACTCTGTATGCTCTGTACACTCTGTATGCTCTGTACGCTCTGTACACTCTGTATGCTCTGTACACTCTGTATGCTCTGTACGCTCTGTACACTCTGTATGCTCTGTACACTCTGTATGCTCTGTACGCTCTGTACACTCTGTATGCTCTGTACACTCTGTATGCTCTGTACGCTCTGTACACTCTGTATGCTCTGTACACTCTGTATGCTCTGTACGCTCTGTACACTCTGTATGCTCTGTACACTCTGTATGCTCTGTACGCTCTGTACACTCTGTATGCTCTGTACACTCTGTATGCTCTGTACGCTCTGTACACTCTGTATGCTCTGTACACTCTGTATGCTCTGTACGCTCTGTACACTCTGTATGCTCTGTACACTCTGTATGCTCTGTACGCTCTGTACACTCTGTATGCTCTGTACACTCTGTATGCTCTGTACGCTCTGTACACTCTGTATGCTCTGTACACTCTGTATGCTCTGTACGCTCTGTACACTCTGTATGCTCTGTACACTCTGTATGCTCTGTACGCTCTGTACACTCTGTATGCTCTGTACACTCTGTATGCTCTGTACGCTCTGTACACTCTGTATGCTCTGTACACTCTGTATGCTCTGTACGCTCTGTACACTCTGTATGCTCTGTACACTCTGTATGCTCTGTACGCTCTGTACACTCTGTATGCTCTGTACACTCTGTATGCTCTGTACGCTCTGTACACTCTGTATGCTCTGTACACTCTGTATGCTCTGTACGCTCTGTACACTCTGTATGCTCTGTACACTCTGTATGCTCTGTACGCTCTGTACACTCTGTATGCTCTGTACACTCTGTATGCTCTGTACGCTCTGTACACTCTGTATGCTCTGTACACTCTGTATGCTCTGTACGCTCTGTACACTCTGTATGCTCTGTACACTCTGTATGCTCTGTACGCTCTGTACACTCTGTATGCTCTGTACACTCTGTATGCTCTGTACGCTCTGTACACTCTGTATGCTCTGTACACTCTGTATGCTCTGTACGCTCTGTACACTCTGTATGCTCTGTACACTCTGTATGCTCTGTACGCTCTGTACACTCTGTATGCTCTGTACACTCTGTATGCTCTGTACGCTCTGTACACTCTGTATGCTCTGTACACTCTGTATGCTCTGTACGCTCTGTACACTCTGTATGCTCTGTACACTCTGTATGCTCTGTACGCTCTGTACACTCTGTATGCTCTGTACACTCTGTATGCTCTGTACGCTCTGTACGCTCTGTACGCTCTGTACGCTCTGTATGCTCTGTACCCTCTGTACGCTCTATATGCTCTGTACACTCTGTATGCTCTGTACGCTCTGTATGCTCTGTACGCTCTGTACCCTCTGTACGCTCTATATGCTCTGTACACTCTGTATGCTCTGTACACTCTGTATGCTCTGTACGCTCTGTACACTCTGTATGCTCTGTACACTCTGTATGCTCTGTACGCTCTGTACACTCTGTATGCTCTGTACACTCTGTATGCTCTGTACGCTCTGTACACTCTGTATGCTCTGTACACTCTGTATGCTCTGTACGCTCTGTACACTCTGTATGCTCTGTACACTCTGTATGCTCTGTACGCTCTGTACACTCTGTATGCTCTGTACACTCTGTATGCTCTGTACGCTCTGTACACTCTGTATGCTCTGTACACTCTGTATGCTCTGTACGCTCTGTACACTCTGTATGCTCTGTACACTCTGTATGCTCTGTACGCTCTGTACACTCTGTATGCTCTGTACACTCTGTATGCTCTGTACGCTCTGTACACTCTGTATGCTCTGTACACTCTGTATGCTCTGTACGCTCTGTACACTCTGTATGCTCTGTACACTCTGTATGCTCTGTACGCTCTGTACACTCTGTATGCTCTGTACACTCTGTATGCTCTGTACGCTCTGTACACTCTGTATGCTCTGTACGCTCTGTATGCTCTGTACGCTCTGTACACTCTGTACACTCTGCATGCTCTGTACCCTCTGTATGCTCTGTACAGTGTCAGAGTGACAGAGTGACAGGAAAAGGTTTCTCACCTCAAAGTTCAGAGCTTCTTCTTCTTCTTCTCTGTTTCTGTTACAGCAGTGCTCTGTCTGTTCCTCCTGCAGCTCAGCTCCTCATACACTCCTCCTCCTCCTCTTCCTCCTGTTCCTCCTCCTCTGGGTTTATGAATAACAATGATGTGACACTGAGCCTGTGATGTTGCAGCTGAACAGACTCAAACATCAGGTGGTGCTAAAACGTGTGACCTTTGACCTCTGACAGATCAGTGCCCTCGGTGTAACACATTTTGTTTTCTTATTCTAGTTTTTTGTTTTTGGCCCGTGGCATCAGTTCTCTAATAAAAGTATTTTGTAAAATCTGACATCTGAGTTTTAATTCTGTGATACAGTCAGAGCCCCTCCCCACTCCCACTTTGACCTTTGACCTCTCCGTCCACTGAGTTCCAGCCTGCAGCCCCAGCAGAATCCAGATCAATGTTCTCTACTGTACTGTGATAAATACTGTGTGTGTACTGTAACGAGGCTGCGGCGCTCTCTGCTGGTCACCTCTGATACATCTCACACACACACACACACACACACACACACACACACACACACACACACAGAAACTGAACTGCTCTGTGAGGATTTTATTTTGTCACCTTAACCCTTGCTTTTCCTTTTTTCATGAAATAATATCTGTCAATAATAATACATAAATACATATATAAATAAAATACATGTATTTTGTATTTTCAAATACAGAAAATACTTTTTTACAATTTTATTTACTTTATTAATCCCCTGAGGGGAAATTCAATGTTTTCACTCTTGCTTGTCAATTACACACAGATCTGAACACACACATGCACAAACAGGACCTATACATGCACAGTATGGAGAGATGTGGAGAGATGTCAGAGTGAGGGGGCTGCCCTTTGGTCAGGCGCCCCGCATGGTTGGGGGGGTTCGGTGCCTTGCTCAAGGGCACCTCGGCAGTGCACAGGAGGTGAACTGGCACCTCTAGCCACCATATTTTGGTCCGGACGGGGACTTGAACAGGCGACCCTCCGGTTCCCAACCCAAGTCCCTATGGACTGAGCTACTGCCGCCTTTTTAGCAGCGACCCGCAGTTCTATAGGTCACTCTGTCAGTCGGTCGGTCCACAAAGCTTTTCGTGAATAACTCAAAAAGTCCTTGACCAAAAATGCTCAAAATGTGCATACTGCAACTAGAGACCATGAGTAACTATACCAGAAAGCACAACCATGATTCTTCCATTAATGGCGTGATAGAAGCAAATTTGGTCGCAGCTATTGCAAATTTGTGCTTGTTTTCTCACAGTTTGGTGAAGCAGAGTATTCAGGTTTGGGCTGTAGGATAAACACAAAGCTCTGGTGAACAGTCACAGAACTAACTAAGTGTAACTAAGCAAAGCCATTAAAAGACAACAACTTGATTATATATATGTATATTTATTAACCAGACTTAACAGCCCATAAACTTCTTTGTATCAACAAATAAAATATTCACAGACACTGTGATAATAACATATGAATGAATTTCAACTTTTTTCAAATGACAAAGAGAAAAGAAAGCTAGGGACATGTAGGCAACCCTAAAATATTATTTATTGATTCAGATTTAGATTCAGACAACTTTATTGATCCCACATGAGGCAATTCATTTGTAGCAGACTCATCCCAAGCATCAACCACAACAACATAGTTTCCTATGTTATGCACAGTCCAGTAAAATAGACCACTAGGTCACTGAAGGGCCCAAGTTTGAAAAAACATATAGATAAAAAATATTTTTAAAAAAGATAAATAAAAAATATTGTTATATCCAATATTATAAGAATGTGTAGCCTATTATTTTTGTTTTTTGATTCGTGGGGAAAGTATTCTGAGTATTTTAAACACAAAATTACTCCACTCAAAAGTATTTAGTTACAAATTACAGTCGCTTTTTATCGGCCTTATCAAAAACAAATTACAAAATACTCAAATGTAATTTCATTACATATTTTAAATACAAGTTATAGAAATACTGCCCATCCCTGTGTGTTCCCCTCCCCCCCTCACCTGAGGAATCTCTCCCTGACAGAAACCCCTGCAGGCAAACAGCTTTTCACACGGGTGTCGCCACACCTGAGTGACGTCAGTGTGCCGTCAGTGCAACTGTCCAGTGAGAGGCGTGTTTGCAGAGTCTTCCTGTTTGTGAGCAGGTGAGACACACCTGAGGATCAGAGCAGAGCAGCAGAGCTTTCAGCCTTCGTCCCGAACTCTTCACTCTTTCATCACGTCACGGTTTCATTCAGACTTAACCGAACCACTTCCGGTTCTGTGACAGTCACAGCGGAGCGGCGAGACGCGTCCGGAGACGGCAAACGCTTTTCCTCCTGCTACACTGACACTGACTGCAGCTGAGAATGCCTCCGTCCTCTTCATCCCTCCTCCTCCTCCTCCTCCTCCTCCTCCTCCCCCTCCCCCTCGTGCGGCCCATCGGAGCGGCGGAGGACGCGGCCTGCAGCGGCTCTTTCCGCGTCGTGCAGGAGAACTTCGTGCTGGACGCGGAGGACGCGGTGAATGAGGGAGCGGCTCTGCTGTCCACCGCGCATGTGCACTCAGAGGAGGTGTGCACGAGCGCGTGCTGCGAGGAGCCGAGCTGCAACTTGGCACTGCTGGAGCCGCGCGGCACCGGAGCTGCGGCGGAAAACCGCACCTGCGTCCTGTTCAACTGCGTCCACAGAAACCGCTTCGTGTGCAGGTTCGTGAACCAGAAGGGATACCTGAGCTACATCCGGGAGGCCGTGTACCGGAAACACCTGCAGGGGCCGCAGGGGGCAGGTGAGCCAATCACCAATCAATAATCAATAAATCAGTGACAGGATCAATCAACACATCAGTAATCAATACAGGAGGGCGATTACAATATTGATCTATATCAATATCGATCAGTAGATCAGTAATAGGATCAACATCAGGGAATATCAATAACCAATACTGGTGCATTAGTGAAGTATTGATAATGTCTCAGTTTGTCGTCGTGACGATTCAGATGTTATTAATTTAGATGGCAAACACACCTGAGGTCGACTTAACCAAACAGGACAGGTGTGAACGCAGCCTGAGACAAACAGTAGCTGGACGGAGACACTGACTCAGGTTTTCATGATCTCTGTTAACGAGACTTTAAAACTCCTTGGACTACAAACGTGATCAAACTAAAGACTGTCAGTTAGCTTAGCTTAGCTTAGCTTGTTTCTACATGAACACAAGTTGGAGCCAGATCAGTCAGGTAACACAGGTCGCAGGTGACTCACAGATAATAGCGATATGATAGCGGTCCAACTGGACAATGTGAAAAAAGACAACGAAAAAATGATGACGGGGGCATTTTCAAAACTGTTGCTCAGACGACCTCAGTAACCAGGATCAGGATAAACACATGAGGTACCTGTGACTGCGTCTCAGCGACAACATGTCTGAGTTTATGGTGATCAATGAGGAAGGCGATCAATGAGGAAGGCGTCCTGAGGACAGTGACCTGCATCCAGGAGAATCCGATGATGGACCCCTTCATGATGAGAGATCGAGTGTTGTCAGTTTATGATTCGTCTCCATGTCTGGAGTTTGATCACTCAACTTTCAGAAGCATCGTCCTATCAGCTCCGTAACTATGAATAATTGTTCTGCAGCGAGATCTATCCAATCATTTATTGACCATGTATTTCATGTTCATAAGTCAACTGTGTGCTGCGTCACTCACCTGGTGTCAGACGCCGTCACCTGTCTGCTGAACGCTGTGGTGAAGTTCCCGTCCAAAGGCAGTAAATGCTTTCACATATTTTCCTTGACTCAGGGAACCCAGTCTGTGCAACAGCCTTCAGTAATTCCCTTAGCTAAGGAAAAACTAAACCTTAAGTGTCAAAGTTAAGAATATGAACACAGTGATTTGTGAATCGTTTTAGCTACATGCTAACATCAGTGAAACATTACATTACATACACTGCTACATGTAGCTACATGCTAACGTCAGTGAAACATTACATTACATACACTGCTACATGTAGCTACATGCTAACGTCAGTGAAACATTACATTACATACACTGCTACATGTAGCTACATGCTAACGTCAGTGAAACATTACATACACTGCTTCATGTAGCTACATGCTAATGTATGGGAAACATTACATTACATACACTGCTACATGTAGCTACATGCTAACGTCAGTGAAACATTACATTACATACACTGCTTCATGTAGCTACATGCTAATGTATGGGAAACATTACATTACATACACTGCTACATGTAGCTACATGCTAATGTAGACTGGACAAGCTGATCAAGAAGGCCAGCTCTGTCCTGGGATGCTCTCTGGACTCTGTGCAGGTGGTGGGAGAAAGGAGGACGACAGCCAAGCTGCCATCTCTGAGGACTAATGACTCCCATCCTCTGCAGGAGGAGATAAAAGCTCTGGAGAGCTCCTTCAGCGATAGACTGATTCACCCAAAGTGTGTGAAGGAACGCTATTGTAGGTCCTTCCTGCCTGCTGCTGTCAGGCTACATAACCAGCACTGCTCACAGTAGACTGCACCATGGACACTTTATTGACACTTTATTGACACCATGGACACTTTAGGGACACCACAGCTGTCTGCTGTTTTGCACATACAATCACTTACACTAGATGTGCTCCCTTTATCCACTGCTCATTTTCATTCACTGCTGCTCATTATTATCCACTTCCTATTATTTTCATTATTGTTATTATTGTTATTGTTATTTATTGCCGACTCTTGGATTTTTGTACTTATTTGCACGCCTAGTTATTTAAGTTTTTTAAGTCTAATTTTGAAATCTTTAATCTGACTCTTTTTCCTTGACTGCTGTAACACTGGAATTTCTCAATTATGGGATCAGTAAAGGTGTATCTTATCTTATCTTATCTTATCTTATCTTATCTTATGTATGGGAAACATTACATTCCATACACTGCTACATGTAGCTACATGCTAATATAAGGGAAACATCACATTACATACATACTGTGTATCACCTCTCCGTGACATCACTGTGTGTTTCCAGGTGAACAGCCTCCGCCCATCGCCATCGCAGGCCGTGATGTCATTGTTCAGCTTGGCGAGCCAGTGTTACTCAATGGCATTCAGAGCCTGGCGCTGGGTAACGCCCACATCACAGACTATGACTGGACTGTGAAGAGTGGAAACGGCTCCATCGGCACAGAGGTAAACACTGCTGAGTCACTGGGGGCGGGGCTTTCACAGGTGGAAGTAACCAATGGGACACAATCGCAGGGACATTAGCTCAATTATTTTATGTTCAGAACGGCAGCAGCCATGACACCAAACACCATCCAACAGTCCTGCAGGTTCATCTGCTCTGCTTTAAGACACAAACAAAACCTGGTCCTGTATGAACAGGTGAGGCTGAACAGGTGAGGCTGAACAGGTGAGACTGAACAGGTGAGGCTGAACAGTTGAGACTGAACAGGTGAGGCTGAATAGTTAAGACTGAACAGGTGAGACTGAATAGTTAAGACTGAACAGGTGAGGCTGAATAATTAAGACTGAACAGGTGAGACTGAATAGTTAAGACTGAACAGGTGAGGCTGAATAGTTAAGACTGAACAGGTGAGACTGAATAGTTAAGACTGAACAGGTGAGGCTGAATAATTAAGACTGAACAGGTGAGACTGAATAGTTAAGACTGAACAGGTGAGGCTGAATAGTTAAGACTGAACAGGTGAGACTGAATAGTTAAGACTGAACAGGTGAGGCTGAACAGGTGAGGCTGAACAGTTGAGACTGAACAGGTGAGGCTGAACAGTTGAGACTGAACAGGTGAGGCTGAACAGGTGAGGCTGAATAGTTAAGACTGAACAGGTGAGACTGAACAGTTGAGACTGAACAGGTGAGACTGTGTGTCTGTGTGTCTGTGTCTCTGTGTGTGTCTGTGTGTCTCTGTGTGTCTCTTTGTGTCTCTGTGTGTCTGTCTCTGTGTCTCTGTGTCTGCGTCTTTGTGTCTTTGTGTCTCTGTGTCTTTGTGTCTCTGTCTCTGTGTCTCTGTCTCTGTGTCTCTGTGTCTTTGTCTTTGTGTCTCTGTCACTGTGTCTTTGTGTCTCTGTGTCTTTGTCTCTTTGTGTCTCTGTGTGTGTCTGTGTCTCTGTGTCTTTGTGTCTCTTTGTGTCTCTGTGTCTTTGTGTCTCTGTGTTTTTGTCTCTTTGTGTCTCTGTGTGTGTCTGTCTTTGTGTCTCTTTGTGTCTCTGTGTCTTTGTGTCTCTGTGTCTTTGTGTCTCTGTCTCTTTGTGTCTCTGTGTCTTTGTGTCTCTGTGTCTTTGTCTCTTTGTGTCTCTGTGTGTGTCTGTGTCTCTGTGTCTCTTTGTGTCTCTGTGTCTGTGTCTCTGTGTCTTTGTGTCTCTGTGTGTCTGTCTCTTTGTGTCTCTGTGTCTCTGTGTGTGTCTGTGTCTCTGTGTCTGCGTGTTTGTGTCTTTGTGTCTCTGTGTCTCTGTCTCTGTGTCTTTGTCTTTGTGTCTCTTTGTGTCTCTGTCACTGTGTCTTTGTGTCTCTGTGTCTTTGTCTCTTTGTGTCTCTGTGTGTGTCTGTGTCTCTGTGTCTTTGTGTCTCTGTGTCTTTGTGTCTGTGTCTTTGTCTCTTTGTGACTCTGTGTGTATCTGTGTCTTTGTGTCTCTTTGTGTCTCTGTGTCTGTGTCTCTGTCTTTGTATCTCTGTCTTTGTGTCTCTGTGTGTGTCTGTGTCTCTGTGTCTTTGTGTCTCTTTGTGTCTGTGTCTTTGTGTCTGTCTCTCTGTCTTTGTGTCTGTGTCTCTGTCTCTTTGTGTCTCTGTCTCTGTGTCTCTGTCTCTGTGTCTTTGTGTCTCTGTGTCTTTGTCTTTGTGTCTCTTTGTGTCTCTGTCTCTGTGTCTTTGTGTCTCTGTGTCTTTGTCTCTTTGTGTCTCTGTGTGTGTCTGTCTCTTTGTGTCTCTTTGTGTGTCTGTGTCTGTCTCTTTGTGTCTCTGTGTCTCTGTGTCTTTGTGTCTCTTTGTCTCTGTCTTTGTGTCTCTGTCTCTGTGTCTTTGTTTCTTTGTGTCTCTGTGTGTGTCTGTGTCTCTGTGTCTTTGTGTCTCGTTGTGTCTCTGTCTTTGTGTCTCGTTGTGTCTCTGTCTTTGTGTCTCTTTGTGTCTCTGTCTCTGTGTCTCTTTGTGTCTCTGTGTCTTTGTGTCTCTTTGTGTCTCTGTGTCTTTGTGTCTCTGTGAGTCAGCAGCAGACAGATGTGTCACTGTGCGCCCAGCTGTTTTAAATAAAGTTCTTTTTGAATGACAGCTGCAGAAGACGGACCTACCTGACCAGGTGCAGGTGTCCTTCCGTCAGCCCGGCTCATACGTCTTCCAGCTCACCGTCACCGACTCCAATGACCAATCACATGCTGCCAACGTCACCGTCCTCGTCCTCAGCCAGGAGCTGTCCAGCTGTGAGTGCTCATGGGAAATGTAGTCCACTCTGCTGTTTGTCTTAACTGGGTTATTGATTAATTATACTGTTTACTGAAAGGTTATTGATAAGGTGAAGTGTTTTATGAAGGATTATTGATTGGTTAAACTGTTTATTGATCAGTTGATTGGTTAAACTGTTTATTGATCAGTTGATCAGTTAAACTGTTTATTGATCAGTTAAACTGCTTTATTGATCAGTGTTTATTGATCATTTAAACTGCTTTATTGATCAGTTAAACTGCTTTATTGATCAGTGTTTATTGATCATTTAAACTGCTTTATTGATCAGTGTTTATTGATCATTTAAACTGCTTTATTGATCAGTGTTTATTGATCAGTTAAACTGCTTTATTGATCAGTGTTTATTGATCAGTTAAACTGCTTTATTAATCAGTTAAATTGCTTTATTGATCAGTTAAACTGCTTTATTGATCAGTGTTTATTGATCAGTTAAACTGCTTTATTGATTGGTTAACAGATCATTGATCGGTTAAACTCTGAGTGTTTAATGGAGTCTCTTGATGTTCAGCGAAGTGAATCAGTGTTTGTGGTACAACACTTATGATCCACACCTCGACTCAAACTGGTCCGACTGGCTTACCTGCCACACACACACACACACACACACTCTGAGTCTGCAGAAACTGAACCTGCTCTGTGAGGCTGTTATTTTGTCACCTTGACTTTTGTATCAACTTCTTTTAGCAGACAACAGTTGAGATGCGTCATGTGATTGATCGGATGTATCACTGTATTGCTGTATTGATTGCTGATTGGTGATCGGTGGAAGCAGCTGGTCATGAATGAGTTAAACAGGCGCAGCTCCAGTTTCAGGTCATAAAACTGTTAAACAACATGTGAATGTCTGCAGTACTGACACACTGTAAATACTACATGTTACCATGGTTACCAGTCGAGTGTTGACTGACACACACACACACACACACACACACACACACACACACTCTCTCTCTCTGCGCTGTGTGTTAATGTGCACAGACAGTGTGAGTACTAACAGTCCACAGAGAGACGTCACAGTTCAGCTGTGATGTTATGATCATCATGTGTCTGTCAGAGACTCTGAACATTGATCTGTCAGTAGCTCCTGAACTTCCTGTGTGTTGCATTGTGGGAGAAAAGTGTCCGTCAGCAGTTTAGTCAGAACCTCTGGAGGTTGATGCGTCACACTTATCACTGCTGAGTAAATCAATTATTTAATATGGAACACTGATTTTAAATGATGTCATTGATTTTAAATGAGTTCATTGATTTTAAATGATGTCATTGATTTTTAAAGGATGTCATTGATTTTTAAATTATGTCATTGATTTTAAATGATGAAAATTAGACTTTTTTTGTCTTCCTGCTGAAGACACCTTTGTACTCTGACTCGTGGTGATGTCATGACGTGGTGTTTCTACTGTTATTTGAATAATTGATCCGATTCTTCCACCAACTCAACGACCAATCAGCAGCTTTTTAGCCACGTCACATGACCTTCATCAGAGTTCAGACTGTTTGTCTCTTTATCTGTGGCATCATCAGTAGAGCTGCTGACACAGAGTGTGATGTCATCTCTCCGTCTGTGTGTGTGTGTGTGTCAGTGTACTGTCTGGCTCCAGTGAAGGTCGGCCCGTGTCGAGCTGCGTTTCCTCGCTGGCATTACGACACTGACGCAGGAAAGTGTGAGAAGTTTGTGTTCGGAGGCTGTAAGGCAAACGACAACAACTTCCTGTCTGAGGAGGATTGTCTGTCAGCCTGCAGAGGAGTCACAGGTAACTACACACCTGACAGTACACACCTGGCAGTACACACACACAGTACACACCTGGCAGTACACACACACAGTACACACCTAGCAGTACACACACACAGTACACACCTGGCAATACACACCTGGCAGTACACACACACAGTACACACCTGGCAGTACACACACACAGTACACACCTGGCAGTACACACGCACAGTACACACCTGGCAGTACACACGCACAGTACACACCTGACAGTACACACCTGGCAGTACACACACACAGTACACACCTGGCAGTACACACACACAGTACACACCTGGCAGTACACAC